GAAATATTTGCTCGGATCGGTATTAGCCTTCCATTTTAAGAAATAACTTAATCTCCATTTCAAATGATCACCGTCTGTGCGTCTTTTTCATTCGGTACATTTCTTCAGAACGAGGATATGTATTAGACTGTTTAAAGAATCAGCGTCTTTTTAGTAATTTTGTTTTTGAACGTAGCACGGTATGAGACGGTCATGATTAGACTACGGATTTTATGCAATTTGTTAAAAAATATAACGAATGTTTGCAACATTAAAATATATTACAAAATGCTATTACAATGTTTAAATGACGAAAGAAATTTATTTCGAATGCATTATTTAAACCGCCAGCATGAATTTATTATTTTGCATAAAAATCCGCAGTCTCCTAATCACGTAATTACTTAATTATTTACATGAAATACATAAAATTAGTACAGAATCCGAAGGAAGCTATAGATTACTTGGAGAAGGCGCGGGAGGAATCGAAGGGTAAAAGGTGGAACGCGTCGAAGAAGCTAGGCGTGAAACAGAATTCCATTTTCAAAGAGAGCAACGTACTTCTGTACAAAGCCCTTTTGATCCTTGTACGGAACGAACGTCCAAATAATCCAGCTCGCGCTCTGGAATTCTGTACCGAGGCTTTGGAGAGGGCCACCGATGGTAAATTCTATCTAATGAATTGTATGAATATAAAAAATACATTGAATACGAAACAGCCGGTAATACCGAGTATGTGAACGAGACTCTGTACGAGCTTGGGAAGTGTCACGTTGCTGTGAACGATATCAAAAGCGCGTTGCAAAGTTTCTCGAAGCTGCTTGCCCTGGCGAAGAGGACTCAAGACGTCGACGGCGTTTGCCACGCGCACATGGAACTAGCATTTGCATACAAAGTAATCATATTCTTCTTACATAACAAAACGTACTCCACGTGCGATTAAAATGGAATGATAACGTTTTATAAATTGACTGAACAGACCCTGGAATTAAAACCAACATGTTTTGTTATCTATCACATGAAACGTCATCTAATTTTATAATTAATTTACAGCAATTGAACGACAACGATTATACGGAGAAGCATTTACTGATGTGGCGGAACAACGCTGAAGATTTTGGGCTTCTCGAGAAACTCGCGGATGCGCATTATTATACCGGTGAACATTATCTGAGCCAGGTATAAAGATATTGTTTATGAAACGTGTACAATATCCGTAAAGATCAGAATTGTATCTTGAAATGTCTCAAGTTACATAATAGTAAGAGAAACAGAACGCGAGGAGGGAAATATGATATTAACTTTTGTTCGCGTAGGGAAAGCTGCATTTGTCTACGAACCATTTGGAAACCGCTTTGAACTTGTACAACAGGCTCGACTTGTCTCGCGACGCTGACCGCGCAAGATGCATCGCAGGAATTTCTAAAGGTTCCCTTACGTTTCTTAAAAGTGTATATTACGAGGAGAAGTCGTTGACTAAAAATATCAAAAACTATAGGCGTGTTTATGTTTTTATGTGCAATTATGTATTTAAAATCTTTGCTTATACGTATATAGGTATGCGGCTACTATTTATTTATTTTACATACTAAAGACAATTTGTAAATATGTGGAACTTAAGTCTTATCGAGATGTTGAATACAAATAGATGTAGAAATAAGGTTGCACTCGGTGTTTTTTCTTTTCTTAAACGCTTGATAAATCCACAATCCACGTGTCATCCTATCCATTTACCATTTTTCGAAGGTCAAGAGATAATCGAGAAGTACATCGGCATAGTGTTACGATGCGGCGATTATGACCAGACCGCGACTTTAAAACTTTGCCGATGGAAGAGTAATAGAGAGCCTTTTTGGACCGAGGAGATCTATGGTAATCGCGATCAGATTTACATGTATTATTCAGTCTCTCACTATCATTACAGTAATTCAATATGCACATACATCTTTCTCCCCTCAGTTCTTACATATACTTATTATATATACATAAACACTTAGTGCGTAATTTATTCAACTGATCGAGTATTCAAATATTTATATTCATACATTTCATTTTACATTAATAGTAATATTATTACTTCAACCACTCGACTTAGAATACATACTAAAAACCTTAGACGTTCTGTCCTTTCCTTACAACGTCTATGGAAACTTACAAACTGTGTTTTGCTCGATGACAATGCGTCGAGCTTTTACTCTCTAAACTGGTAAATTTGTTGAAGCATATAAAATTTTCTAATAATTATTCATTGTCAACTTGTATATCAATAATGAAAATTTCAGATGTTAAGTCGGAGTTGGAAATCCATTACGAGAGCTCGGGCACGTTTTCCACGATGTCTCGTACAACTCGCAATGATCAAGCGACCTCACGGCCATAGAAATCGTAATTCTATCAGTAATTGAGTTTAATAAAGTCTCTTGTCATCTGTGTGACCCATCCTTGCATTTCACTTTACAATTGTAACTACTGTGTTGAAAAGTTCGCATCACTGGGAAATCTAGGATAGCGGAATAAACAAACTGTAAATATAAAAACTGAAATAGTGCATAACAACTGCTATTGCTAACAGTCGGCTACGGTGACTTTGTGGCTTCACCACCTAAGACAATCTTTCATTTTGAATGAAAAAACTGTTAATACATTTTTAAAGATCTATTACTACCATATAGTATCATTACAAATATAAAACCATATTAATACTAAAAAACAGATGAAAAAAATTTAAGATCAATAATGAAATATTAAAATGTTTCAATTAACTTGCTGATGAATTATGAGATTACATCCATTACCCATGCAAATGACAGTTCAATTTTTAGCCAAGTAAAGGGCATACTTGATTTCGTACAACCGTGCATTACTTTACAAATTGCTAACCAATTTTCTAACATAAAGAACAGATAAATTTGTACAATTTAAAATCTGTCACCTAAGTTTTATACGATTTACAACGTGTCTAAAACAGGACGAATGGTAGTATACAACAAATTGTAAATGTTGTAAATAATCGCAGCTAATTCTTTATTAAAAGAAAGACTACAAAGAAAAATGAATACTTCTTTAACTAGATTATCTATTAACAAAAAGTAATATGTATTTTAATGTGAAATGGCAATTGTTTGGACTCCTTTTCTTCGAGATGAACATATGTATAATAACGGTTGCTTAAGCGGGTGAGGCTTAATTTTTAGGAGTAAGGATAAATGAATCTGGAGTCAAATAAAAAAACTAATACTTAGCGGAGTTATTCCACGAGATTAGAGCTCCCGCTTTTAGTACCCTCGCTTCCGAGAGTATCGACGCCGTTATTCACTTCACGTGATATATTCTCTAACGTCTCCGCCTCAACGGCATCGTCCTCGTTGTTCGTATTCATGTTCTCCAGCCGCTTCTGAAATTCTGCGCTGGCCAAATCAAGGACTTCCTGCAACACTTCCGCTGCCGCGTTTGCCGAATCGCTCATCGACTTTTTTCTTTTCCCTTTCTCATCCTCGAGAACTATGACAGTGTCCTCATCCTCGACGATATTTAACTCAGCCTGCAAAACTACCGAGTCTTGGGAATCGGAGTCGCATATGTCTATAACATTTCCTTTCGCCGATTCCATTTTCTCAGATTCGAGCGATTTTTTTTTAGAAGTGCCCATCTGATCTGACTGTACGTCAACTCCGTTATCCAATTCTTGGATTTCACTGTCATTCTCATTCGATTCCTTAGGGGAGTCATCTTCCACTACTATAGAATTATCAATATTCGTACTAGGTTTGTCCAAATTTCGTTGTTCCGGCTCGACCATCTTATTCTCTTTTTCTTTTTCATCATTTTCGATATCTCCTATCGCATGTTTGTCTTTCTCTGTTTGTTCAATTTCTCGCTCTTTTTGTACAGCTTCAATTTCTCCCTCTTTTTCATTATTTTCTCTTAGAGTCTCCTCTTCTGCTTGATCAATGTTTTCAATATTCTCTTTGTCCTCTATCGTACTTTTATTTTCTTTGTTCTCTACCACACTTTTATTTTCTTTGTCCTCTATCATAATTTTATTTTCTTTGTCCTTTACCATACTTTTATTTTCTTTGTCCTCTACCATGCTTTTATTTCCTTCGTCCTCTGCAATACTTTTATTTTCTTTATCCTCTACCGTACTTTCATTTTCTTTATCCTCTACCATACTTTCATTTTCCTTGTTCTCGGCCATACTCTTATTTTCTGTATCTCCGTCTCGTTCAACCACTTTACTTTGCTCTTGTACATCTTCGATATGGCCGTTCATAACACTTTGTTCTTCTTCAGAAGTCTTATTTACATCCTCTGCTTCCATCAGAGATTTATCCGGCTTATCATTGTTGTTTTCATTCGTTTCATTTGATCTTCTCTTATCATCAACCTTCTTATTTTTGTCTTGTGTCAAGGAGTTATTGGTATTCGTGTCTACGTCTTCCACAAACGTTGTATCTTTTTGAGTTTCTACGTCATCGTCATCTTTCATTACAAGCGTCATATCAACGTTATCCTCTTCTATCGTTTCTCTCCGAGGAACATCTTTAGTATCATCTCCAACACTAGAATCATTGTGCACAGATTTGTTTTCGTTTATCGCAACCTCCTCTTCGTCGTCGTCTATCGTAATTCTTATATTGTCCAACGGTTCTTCGATTTGATCATCCACCTTGCATGCATCGGATGCTCCTTTCAATAAACTTTCTGGATTTATTCTTGGTAACTGTAATTTCAGTTGTTTATAGTGTGACAACTTATGCGACAAGCTGATGAGCTTATTCTCGTAACTAGCTCCGCATTCATCGCAAATGTATGTCTCCGTTCTGAATATATCTTCTTTATCAGATTCTACTGTAGATCGTGCGTTCTTTGTTTCAGATTCAGTTTGTTCTGTTGGATCCGACGAAGAGCTTGTGCTCACAATTCTTTTCCTCTTTTGTGTCGATGATTTGCCGCTTTCGTCGATACCTTTCAAGTTTCTTTTTGTTCTTAGACGATCTTCTTCTTTATTTGTCTCGGCATCGGTCAAGGATGAGGCGATCACTTGTTGCCTTCTGGTTAACCTTGCAGGTTTTGATACAGGTTCAACGTTCCTCCGTCTAAACTGCCTCATTCGTAGACCGATCGAACTTGAATCGGAATCATTCGATGGATCTTCAACCGCCTTCAGTTTCTTCTTCTTAGGCACATCTTCACTGGATGTGTCTTCGTTTTCAGTTTCAACTGAGCGTTTCACACTCCGCTTCTCTTTCTTTTCGGATGTCTTCTCGATCTTCGAATCTTTCTCCTTCACGGCGATAGTCTTACTACTCTCCTCGAGATCTTCATCGACTTCGTGAACCTGATGTTCCTTGCTTTCTTTAGCGGTCTTCTGCTTTTTCTTCTTAGGCACTTCTTCATTGGACGTGTCTTCGTTTTCAGTTTCAACCAAACGTTTCTTACTCCGTTTCTCTTTTTTCTCGAATTTCTTCTCGGGTTTCGAATTTTTCTCCTTCACGACGGATGTCTTACTATCCTCAATATCTTCCTCGATCTTATTAACCTGTTGTTCCTTCGTTTCATTATTTTTCAACACATCTTTCAAATAAACTGCGCAATCTTTAGTCCCCGAGAAATTCTGTTTTTTAGTCAATTTTGTTAGTCTTTCAGATTTTCTACCTTTATGTTGACAAGTTGCACATACACCACTTACTACGTCTACGATCAACCTTCCACGTTTGGTTAACAAGTCGATAAACCCGTGACATACATTGCAGCGTTCTCTTGTTTTCTTCTGAGACTCTTCGTCGTTTGATTTGTTATTTCGTGACCTTGTGCGTATCATCTTGTTTTCCAACTCTTGCAAAGTCACTTTAGAAGACTCTGTACTCGTAGTTTTGCGGCTTGCAATAGCTGTATCTGTCTATAGGAGGAAAGTAATAACATGATAAAAATGTTGTGAAGGAACATTATATATACAATATTTAATACGATATAATATTACCTTGGGAAATGTTAAATAATCAATTTCTTTGTTGGTGATATCCGTCAAATGAGTTGAAGTTCTCTTACATATATGCTGTAGATCTAACAGTACGTCTGTTGCGTAAAGGCAAGCTATACACATGAACTTGAAGTCCTCAATAGACGTTTCAAACTATTAACGAATGGAATTACAATTTAAAATCGAGTATCTCATGAGAATTTGAGTAGAAAATCATGTATTACCTCATTATTAAGGACTTTTTGTATTTTATTGAAAGACTTCTGTTGAAAATTCGTGTCATCACTGAGATCAAAAATTGGTTTGGTCTTCTCAGTTTGACGGCATATAACACAGCCTTTCTTATTGTTTGTCCCCGACCTTCTGTACTGTTCGTACTTTTTTAGAAAAGAGCTACATTGATTAAACTCGAAAGCACACTTATGGCAAACTTTTATCGACGCTCGATCCACTGCTGGTATCTGAGTAACAAGAAAAATGAATTCAATTAATTAACTAGAAAACAATCCCTCTATGAGTATACTGCTATCTAAATTCAATATTCATGATGATTTTTCTATGCAATTCTATCAGTAAAGTTTCATTACATTAGAGCAAACCTTTGATATACTTATAAATTATTTATTATAACTATTATCTTCTATTACGGATAATTAGTGTTATTGATAACAAAGTGTACATATGTTTATATCACACCAGGCTGAAAGGAAAACAAAATGATTTCAATTAATTAATTGCACATAAAAAATAATATATTTATGATGATTTCTCTATAAAATTCTATCAGCAGAGTTTTATCACATTAATGAAATCAAATACCTTAGGTTAACCTCTGATGTATTCACGAATTAGTGATTTAGAAACCGCTGGATTACTATTTTTTATCATGAATAATTAGAATTATTGATAACACATTCTATAATTAAGGGCATATACGATTGAAACGGTGATTAAATCTACTTTTCGCTCGAATATTTATGTTACACAGTGGACAAGGACAACGACGCACACTCAGATGCATTGTAACAAATTAAGTAGGATGCAAATATTTCACTAGAAAGTTAGTGATTTCGTGCATACATTTTTTTAATAGAAAACTTACCTTGTTGTGCAGACAGCGTTCAATCCATTCGCATATCTGTTTGTTGTCGGCCGCGTCCAAAAAGAGCCCTTCGTTGGTTGCACAAATAAAACAACAATGGTCAGCCATTCCGGTAGACAAGTTTAACGAACAATAACTGTTCTTTTGGCGGTACGTTACATACGAATTGAATAACTACTAGTCATAAGAATAAGATTGAATTTTTTGGCGGTTATGAATGAAACAACAAACAGACTATGACGCAGTATGCAGGACTGACGGGCAATGGATAACGCAAATGGCGGCCGTGCGTTCATATTCGATATATATCGATAGGCTCGAAAACGAAATACATGGCTTCACACGACCGTTATGACCGTTATACGACCAAGCTGTCGGAGTCTGTTGAAGTAATTAAGGTATCGCAATAATGAACTCCTTTATCAGTCCTTTTTTTTATTAAAGTATCTATACGATCTTAAACATCGATAATGTTACCAAACATGTGCTGGTTTGTCCGAATTTGGTCGAATTACGTGGTTTTATTAATCTATAAAATGAAAACGTCGGTATATCTCGTTTACTGTTCTCGCTGGGTCCACTTCTGCAGTTGCGCGATCGAGAACAAATCGAATATGGATTGATTTTCATCACGGAACTGTTCGAAACGAATTCTTAAATTGTCTAACATCAACCTGAGGATTAAAACAAGTATGTATGAACAAAACAACTTATTTCGATATTCCCATTGACCTAATGTAAATAGCTGGAATGTGAACAGTCGTCAAAAGCTATACAAAAAGAGAGTACCGACGATGCGCCAAAAATACGAGACTGCAAGACATACTATCCGTTTTTTTCTACTATCTCTTTCTAT